CCCCCAATCATTCTTCACGGGCAATCTGCTAGTTTAAACATAAAAGCTTCTGTGAGGTTTTTTTAAAGATGTGGAATGCCTGCTGCTTTTACTGGCTTCAATGATTATCTCTGAAAAATCAGGTCATTTTTATTTATGCTCCAAAAACGTTTGAATTTGAGCCTCAACTTTTATACTCATATGTAATGTGTCATTTTGCACATGCAATGCCTCTTCAGTTAATATTTACAATTGTCAACGACGTTTATGCAAGTTTTGTGTGGAAAGCAAAAGTAGTAAAATACCAGTGAGATAATGGATGCGTAACAATAATGACCAACTTCTGGATTGCAACAAAAATGCTAATGCTGTTCTTCAAAAGAAGCTGGATGGGGAGTAACTAGTTTAAATGGGACGCAAATTACTGCTCCATGCTTTAAACTTGATTTAGTTCAACAATCAAAATCAGCTTCTCTGAACTTTTTTACAATAACTTAAGAAAATTAATGTCAAATCTCATGCAGAAGTGTATCAACTACAAACAATGGGTAGTACATATGATCAGGCATAAAATAACTACTTTTCACCTTCATCTAAAGCATCAAATTTAAATCTCCGCAGGGCGCGGGCTTCTCATGGACCAGGCAGTTTTGTCACAACAAACTGAACATATGCAGCAAACAGAAGTTGCTAAGTAAATTTAAATATGGGTCATTGTGCACTTAAGATCATCATCATCATCACACTAAAACTGGGATTTTCAAATGAGCTTAAGGAATCAGACACTTAACTGCCATGGAACCTGGGCTCCAAATTCCCTTCATTTCCTCTGAAAATCCCAGCCTAAAGCACCAGACCTGGAAAGGCATTTAGGCACCCAAACTCTCAGAGATTTCATTAGGAACCTAAGCATCTAAGTAGCTTTTTGGATCTGGACCCAAGTGTCTAACTAGAAAGGGGGCCAACAGACTCTAGAGGTAGGAGATTAAGTTGTATTGCAGTCAGTCCCCAGCACACTGCCCTTAAAGGAATTTTTACCTGCTGGTGGCCAGGCCTTGATGTATCCAGTGCAATGGACGACAGCATACTGTGCTTCTCCCTCTTTTACTGGGCCTAGCCCATTCCTACATGGACCAGAAACAACAACTGTAATATGTCTGACCTCCAACAGAACTTGACACTGTTATATTAGTACTGGTTGTTTTACACAAATCTACCAATTTTATTTGTAAAAATGTCCCTTATCTAATCATGAGACATATCTGTGAGACTGGTAAGTAAATATTATTGTACAAATGAAGTGAATCAAGGCAAAAACATTAGCTGACACATGCAAAGCCTCGAATACATTGGTGACATTGCCAGGACTAGAATTTCTAGCCCTGTGCTCACTCTTTACTAGCATAAGCTCACAATACTTGTGAGCCATAAGCTCTGGCCATGTAACACTTAAAAGATTTAGCTTTAGTGAAATAAATAACTGGGAGAGTTCATTGATTGAGTGTTAGATTGTAGTGTCAAGTGAAATGGACTCACCTGTATCTTTTCCTCATGGTGGTTATTCTGTTCAGAGGTAAGTGATCCAAAGGAGCATTTCCACACCTAAAAGCAAATTGGCATTTTAAAGGATTCAAAAAAAGGTACTGCAATAGGAATGCTTGGGGCAAATGCACCTAGAAACCTTTATTAAAACGTAGTCAAGTAGCACTGTATATCTGCTTTCGATTGGAAGTTTTAGGGGGGAAAAGTATTTTCTTAGAAGTCGCATTTACTATAACTTCCCTTTTAATTTTCCCCTGTTTAATGCCCCAGACCAATTCAAGAATTAAAGAAATACAGAGAAAATCTGCTGGCTTACAAAAGAATGCCCCAAAATAAAGAGGAAGCTAAAGAAATACAAGGATAAGAAACACAAGAACAAAAGACAGCCTGAAGCAGAGAATTCCAGCACTCGTTTCAAGCACAGATAGACTGTAACGGACCACAACACATTAAAAACAACTACAAAAGCTAAACAAAACACATGCTTTAGGACCTCTAATAATAAACCCACACAGAATAATTCCAGCTTCCAGGGGAGCTATTGACACAGAGAAACCATAGTCATCTAAACTTGTGCATTCACCAGTTACTTGTGCAACAGACACTAGTCTCTTGAACGTACACCTGTACAATCTACTTCTGCTCCACCTGTGATATAGTGTGGCACATAAAATATCTACTTCAAATACATACAATTCATATACTACTTACTTACGTACTATCGTTGTACTCTCACAGAAATGTATGCTGGCATACATACTGCCACACAATATTATTGTACTAAATATCTGACCGTTACATATATTCCAAGAGACTTTTATGAAAGAAAGGTTTTGCTACGTATTGACTGCCTGTTAATAATATTAACCGGCTTCTTGCTTATAAATTATTTTCACAGCTGCTTATATTTATATGCATATCCAACTGCACATTTAACTGCATAACTCTATATCTAACTATTAGTGTCCCTTTGAAGCCAAGTAAATGGTTTTGAAGGAGAAAACAGTATTTTCATTGGAAAAGAGAACGTTCAGACAACAAAAGAACGAATCACATGGGAAATTGACATTATTTGAGGACTGGTTGAGATGTGGGTCTGAACATCCCCCTCTGCCCCTACTAGGAGTTTTACCAGTCACTGCCAGAAAGTAAAAGGAACAATGAAAATGGTTTAGAATTAGAAACACAATGGGACTATTCACGTGTATAAAGTTACTCACATGCATTAGTGTTTGCAGGATCAGGGTGTTAGTAAATAACTGGGATTTGGATGGCTGCTTTTAAAAGCTGGAGAACAATTGTAAACTGGATATTAGGTCTGGCTCTGTCTGCTCAAAGACCACATTACATGATCAGTAATCGTGGTTAGAGGACAAAGAGGTGCATTCTAAATAATGAAGCTCAAACTGAATTATTTTACTAAAACGTAATTTGCCTGAATTCAGTAATCTGACAGTTATACATTACTGGTAGAAGGAACCATTCTAAGAGTTATGTGAGAGGACATGCATATGTTACTGGAGTCCATTTCCAGTACAAACATTACTGCATTTACTCAATTCCAAGACAAGGGCTTTTTCACCATTAACATGGGTGGGGGGAGACCCTCATCTTGGAATTGAGCATGAGGTGGTGGAAAAGGCAGGCAGCTGCTGCAGCTGCAGGGGAGCAGGTGGCAAGCTGCTTGATCTCACCCCACTACCTCTGCCTTCCCCATTGTAGTAGTGTGGGGAGACAGGGGGTGGAAAAGGGGGACAAAAATTTAAGATGATCCCCCAACAATTAGATTATATATATGGAAAATCATAACAAAAGTTATAAGTGTTCCATGTGCAGAATCTAATTATTAGGGGGTTGTCTTAAATTCACAGTCATCGTGGATTCAGGTAAATACAGCACTCCTGTTGCTAAATCCTACAACTAAGGGCTAAATTATCTCTCTGAGCAGTAGAGAGTACTAAGAGAGGGAGTTATTAGGATACTGGGGGGATTCATACCTTAAACTGTCATTATCATAGGAGTAATGAAGCATGCCCTCCCTCCTTGCTGAATTGTCTCCTATCCTAGTCTTCTGCTTCTAGTTTGATACTCATCCCTTGTTTGGATTCAACTACCAGTAGACCTAGAGTGTCCCTGCAGTGGCCAAATTATCTCCTTCACAGAGTATGGGAGGAAACAGAAAGGGGTTCCCTATGCCTTTTGGTCATTTAGTCGATACAAGCAGGGCTAGCCATAATAAGGTCCATCAGGAAAGCAAGAAACCATTATATTTGTAATATGAGGGCTCTGAACTTCTATAATAACACTTTCCAGTCAGCCATCTCAAGAAGTTTTGCCCCCTATCTGGCTGAACATCAAACACCTGCCTTTGGATTTAATAACTATGCTGAATGCCATGTTCAAAACATTATGCAAATACCAATTACATGAGCAGGCTTATCTTGGGCTTGATTTTACCTTCCAACATTTTAGTTTGCATGCATCTCTTAAAATATTTTTTATCATCTCTTCCTGAGGTTATATGCCTGGAACAGGCTGCAGACAAGCCTGTGCATTTTTTTCATTAAAGTCAGAAGAATGGACTTACTCTGAGCATGTCAGACATCATTGCAAAATAAAACCCTCTCCCAATTACTCATTTTTGTAGAGTTAGCCAGCTGACATCTGTTTAATTCTTACCACAGTCGGTTAATTTTTGCATTGCTGACTACGTCTGTAATTCAATTTTTGCTCATCTTCAACACATTTTTTAATGTGTTGGGGAGAGAGAGGGAGAGAGAGAGATGCACACACACACAGACAGAGCTACACTGCCATCCCATTTTTGATGAATTTGTTCCAGAATATTGATTTAAATAATCAAAGAGACAATAGCTTACATTCCAGTGGTTAAGATGGCCCGAAGTTCTCTAGGCAATTATACAATATGGCACAATGGTAAAAATAACTGCAATACGGATATGAGTTATTGACTTTCTTACTAATCAGAGGCAAATGCAAGTTTAACACTAGTTACTAAAGCAAGTATTCTGGAAATGTTTAATCAGAGTATTTTTTAGTACATTCCACATTTTTAAAAAGTTCATACCTATTGCACACTTGGCCAAAATGTAGAGCTGAGAGAAAGAGCAAAAAACACTACAGTAATACAGAGAACCTCATACCTCATCCTGCAAATGAAAGAACGCCTCGACCCCATGCACATTCTCATTGAAGACTGCTGACCCTCCTTCTTTACCGTTCCAGTTTTCAAGTCCAAAATTCGTCCTGGAAAAGTCAAAGAGAGAAATTCATGTGTGGCATGTGTGTTTCACCTCAGCTCCTCCAAGGTTAAAGAAGTCGATAGATTCATAAACCAGACATTACACAAGCTTTTAGAATAAACAAGCCAAATTCTGATGTTGTTTACACTAGCTTGGATGCTAATTCAACTACTGATGTCAACAAATTTGCTTTTGATTTTCAGTGGCCTAAGTGAAAGAAGCACTGAATGGGGCTGTCTGTAGGTTACTGTTAAACAACTCGTGCACAAGCCTTTGGCTAACCTAATGATGGAGAGTAGGTAACAGAGACAGAAATGGTAGTGAGGTCCTGACTTACCCTACACCTGCAGGCAATATAGCAGGGGAAGCTGCTTTTCTTCCCCCTCTCCACACAATTCTTTTATCTTGGAGCAGCTCATACAGACTTGACCATAGGGAAGATAAGCCATATGAGGAGAGGCTGAAGGAGCCAGGCACATTCAGCTTGCAGAAAAGGTGCTTAAAAGGGGGCCACAATAGCAGTCTTCAAATACCTGAAGGACTGCCTTAAAGAGGGAAATCACTTTTTCTCTCTTGCTGCAGAGGAGGACACAGACCAATGGCTTGAAGTTTCAGCAAAATACATTTAGATTAGATAACTGGAAAAATGTTTTCACTGTTAAAATAGTGAGGCAATGGAACAGACTGCCTAGGGAAGGTGCGGACTCTCCGTCACTGAAGGTGTTCATGAAGAGGTTGGACAGCTACTGGTCAGGGATGATCTTGGTTCAGCTATGTCTATTTTCTACAATGGGCATTTCCTAGGCTTCTGGGCTTTACCGGTTGCTCCCTTCTCTTTTTTCCCCCTGCTACATATATCAGGGTATTTTTAAGCCTCCCCAGAGGCATTGAGTGTTGGCTACAGCTCAGGCTGGGGACTTTAACTGGGGTATATCGATTTTCCTGCTAGGTTCCTGGCTAGAGGGTCTTGCACCTGCAATCAGGGTCAGATCATTCACCATTTTGGGGTCAGAAAGGAATTTCCCCCCATGGTTAGATTGCTATGAACTGTAGGGGCTTTTTGCCTTCCTCTGTAAGGGGAGGGGTTGGGGGGAGAAAGTGGTCCTCTTCCCTGGGATCCCTTGAGCTTATATCAACATTTCATAGAAGCAGGACATTGGCTGCTATGGTTCCCCTGCTTTGTGAAGTGGTTCCCCTACTTGTGGCAGGTTACAGTGTTAGATCTGTGTCACATCACAGTTAACGGTAATCTTATGGAGAGTTTAGATTATGGATTGTATAGGATAGTATGGATAGGGATGATCCTGCCTCAGCAAGGGGCTGGACTAGATGACCTCTGGAAGCCCCTTCCAGCCCTATTTCTCTATACCTCTATGACTATGACCAAGCTTTATTTCTGGTATAGATGAGTGCCACGGGAATACCTGTGGTGATGCCTCATCAAAAGATATCCAACCCATTGACATCTCACTTTAAAGAACAAGTCACTATAGTAAATGAGAAAACTGAGAGGGCGACAAGAGAAAAATGGAACGAAAGAGAGATCGAAAGCAAAAAGCACACAAAAGGGAAATAAATTAAGAGAGTAAATTAAAAAAATTAAACAAAGACGACAAATGGAAGAAGAAAAAAAGAGACGGAGGACAAAGGAAAAAGTGGGAGCAATTTGCCATAGATATGTTTTGACCAGTAATGAACACTGGTGGTTTCCATCACCTCAGCACTTACCTACTAGTAACAGAGAAAATATTTTTTTACATAGGCCACAAACCATGTAAAAGATAGATAATACATTCTGGATATTTTATTTACATGGGATGGAAATAAATCTGTTACTTACATATGAATGGATTCACTAAACTGGGCTGTCTCTCCCTACATTTATTCAGTGGGGACAATATTGGTAATTCTGGCAATACAATCAACCAATTTAATCAGGTTTTTTTCTTTAGTGGTATAGCATAGCAGCAGCCTATTTGCAGTTGAACAAGATGAAGCTATACTAGCATTAAATGGACAGGAAAATCTAAAATATATATTAGTCTGGACTCATTTGAGGCAGCTTGGAAAAAATGTCTCTATAGAAACTAAGACCTAGAGCACTTATTGCAGTCAAAGATTTGTATTTCGAGAATGATTTTATCCCTACTGGGTAAAAAAACCCCACAAACATCTGTGGACAGCAGCACAAACTTCACAAAATGCTTCAAGGATTAATACTGTACAAAGAAAATTGGACTGAAGAGAGAATTAGCTATTTACTTTTCAGTTATAAGAAAGCTGTCTGATGTGATAGGCACATTATCCTTAATAACCAAGGACTAGACTGTGCGTTGAGGTACTGCCATGGGAAATGGAGTGGTTCATAAATTGCACCAGGCCAGGCACAATTCTGTGAGGAGTTGCAATTCATAGGCGCCTCTTAGAGACACAATTGTTTCCCTGAATCATGGCCCCTAAGACCAACAGTGATGGCCAATGAATTGGGAGGACAGAACTAGGAATCAAGCTTCTCTCCGTCTACCTGCTGCCTGGGTAGCCTGCATAGGATTTAAGGAGGGCACAGTTTGATTCCTCCCCTCTCAGCTATGTGGGCTTTTTCCCCAAGCTACAACTTAGCGCTGTCAAATTAAAAGCCAAGATTTGGGAGCAGGATGAGGATGGGAACGGGGCGGTAGGAGGAAGTCATCATTAAGCAAGTGGCTACACAGGTAAACACAACAATACAACAAACTAAACAAGTTTGTACAATTTATTTTAGATATTGTAACAAAATGTGGGGATAGGATCAGAGAAAGTTAGGGTTGGAAGGGACCTCAGGAGGTCATCTAGTCCAACTCACCTGCTCAAAGCAGGACCAGCCCCAACTAGATCATCCCAGCCAAAGCTTTGTCTAGCCAGGTTTTGAAAACTCCAAAGGAGACCAATTCCCCATTCAAATGATTAGGTTAAATCAAGTTAAAACAAGGTCAAGCATTTTTTTTTTTTTTTTTTAGTTTTATGGAAAAACAATTTTGTGCACATGTAAGCAGGAAAAGAGTTGCTTTCAAGAATCTGGGGAGTTTTGTAACTGAAAAAGCCCACAAATTCTTCCAGTGATGCTGGCAATAAAAAGACAGGATGAACATGCCATTCAAACAACTAATAGAACTATCTCAGCTTTTAACATCAACCAGCATACCAGAAATATAAGCATGTTCTACAGTGCTACACACCAATTAAGTTGATAATTGGTGACATGTCCCTTGGGCATGCACAGAACCCATGGTATGGTCATATTCTGGAATGTCAGCATTTCATTTTGCAACGAAGATGTCTCAGATAACACCTCATGGGCTAAATCTCGTTCTGACTTAAAACCCCACGAAACCCAAGTGACTGACACAGGGTGTGAGTCAGAGTATTGTTTGCATCAAAAGATATTATGACAGAGCTCACAGACAGCTTGTTTTAATTGGCACTCACATTTGCTTTTGCATAGCTTGAACAATATACTGCTTCTTTTTGGTAAAGGGACCCACCCACGTCCCATGTTGCTGGAGTTTATCTTATATTAAAATAAAAAGACTTTCCCAAAGATACATGCTCAGTTCTCACTTTAAGACATATACAAAACACCTTTAAAGCTGTTGCTGGCAACTATATGCTGATTAATAAAAAAAGATTTTCAGAATATTATCACCCCTTGTAATGTTATACTGAAGAGCAATTTGAGGCGAAAGTAATGTCAACATGTCTCTAGTGCTGGAACTGTTTAAATCACTTGTCAGCTTTGGCACTAAATTGATTATTCTGTGTAGTTTATTTTTGCTTTAAACTAAACTATTCCTCACCCAGATACAGTGCAAATACAGTGCCCATTTTTCAGCCACAGCACTGGTGATAATAAGGCACTGGTATCATTCACATCAGAGCAGCTGCAGAGAAAATAAATAAGCGAGCAGAACGTTTACTGAAGCCAACCCCACAAACTTTTTGGACCTGGATTTAACTGATAATTTATTGGAATTTATTCATTACAGTTCAGATTAAAAATGTAGCACTGCTTAAGCCTATAATAAGCCATCTGTCCTCTGAAAAGGTGAACCATAATACAAATCAAGACTCCTGATATCAGCTGCTACTGCCCTACACTGCTCCTAAGGCAAATCAGAGCAAAGAGAAATACTACTGTTCAAAGGAGAAATTATCTGGGTAGAGTGAAAGAGCACAATGGTAACTGGCAGTTCAAGCCATAGTGAACAATATCATTGATATATCCTGCACACTGCTTTGTTACAAATTTTCAAACAAGCTCTAAAAACCATCCCATAATGGCGAAAGAGGCAACAGTTCACACAGCCACAACTTGCTTCTTTAACATCCAAAGAGTATTTATATATGCACATCCCTCTTTTTGCATTGTTTGCTACTGTGAGCATTCAAATCTATTTTCTGCACTTGCAGTGTTTGAGATGGACCTGAGCCATGAAGTTCAGATGCCGATCTGGACTTTGTGATCTTCACGGGGTTTCCAATCTGGGATTTTGGCTCGACCCCATTTTTACACAATAGCTGCAGGCTTTCTGAAAATGTGGCCCTCTGTGTGTAAACATTGCATGCTAAGGTTTATAGCCTGATAATCAGATACAGCCCATACTTTATTACTTTTTTTCCATTCTTTCTTTGGTAGATT